AGGTGATCAACTACCACAAGAACAAATCCCTGTTAGGGGATGGTCTTAGGGGCGAAGCCACACCTGGTGTTTTCAATCTGTTCTCACCAGTGATGACCAAGAGGAGTAATTCCAGTGGTAATAACACCAGGTGTACATCTGTTAATCATGGCGGAGGTCAGCCTTCTGGGTTCATACCTAATCCCAAATTTTGGTGCTTTCCTCAGCAATATCAAGATGGGAAATGAAATTATACCTCTCCAGGAGTCAACTTTTTGAAGCCAAACTTTTTAATCCACATCGGCTCAGCTTCTTTCAAGGCAGAAACAACCACATTCTTCACTGCAAGGGACCCTAATAGCCTCTTCAAACAACAAAAAAGTGCCTGAAAATATCCCTGCATATCAACAACATAAATTAAATAATGAATGTAAAGTGTTCTAATATGCACACACTGTAAAAGTACCTGTCCCTCAGCTTGCGCACTTGTTGCAGCCAAAGGAACCTCCGCCAAGTCTTTGCCTACTACCCTAAATATGACGGAAGAGACGACCCTCTTGCTACGTAACAACATCAAGAAACACATAATAAGCAGAAGAACAAAATATTTGTTGTTACAAATGACAAATTCACTACTTCATTGTCATAACTTACTCAATGAGCAATATGGCACAGTGCATGCCACTCAAGTCGATCCCAATAAATTTCTCTCTGTCAAAACAAATTGTTAAAATAGCTATGTGAGAAAAAACTGAAAAGTAAATACAGTTTGCAATTTGCATATTGCATACTATTATTATACTTATTATACCTACCCAGTCCTATATATCATTGCTTAGATGATGTCTCGTGGCCTCCCTCTACTAGTTTGATGCATCATAACTCCAAAGCATTGCTATTCAGTTTGAATCGCATCAAGCAATAAATACAAAGGGGAAGATAAATATAATTTTATTTAATAAATTCCTAAAATAGAAAAGTTAGTAAAAAATCAGGTTCGCGGTAGATATCCAGAGCTCCCATAAAAAATTGTTCAGTATCGCCGACGCGATCAATCTTCTCGTGGGGATAAAGGACCCTCCATTTCACATCAGGTCGGTCGGGACTGTGCTTCTTCTTCATAACCTTTCCCTTTTTCTTAATCTTCGTAAACTTGCTCTTTTTTCTTATGAGATCCAAACATGCATCTGGCACTTTCTCTTCACCCCCCAAAACCAATTTCTGCAACGTAGAATGAATCCTCGACATGCCCGGAACCTGTAAACCCCAAATTCTACAAATATAAATATTACAAACACATTCAATTAATAAAAAGTATCAAAACAAGAAGAACTCACATTCTCTCGCCCCGCACAACGTTCCCCTTCTTCATCCCTGGATGAAGATGAAAGGTAACGAAATGCAGTGGCAGGTTTCGGACAA